ATGGTAGTCTGTTTCCGTTTACATGGATGATTTCCAAGCAACGATATATACGTGCATATAAGACGCTGGAAGCGAAAACTATAACTATATAGTTGATGAACAAATAAGATGCTTTCTTGGAAATCTCAATACTAAGCAAATAGTACATAATAGTGCTTCTACTAATCTCAAACATATTAATCTCCTATATCGTAATCAAATGCATACTAATTATAAACAAAATGAAAATATACTAAAAAATTTAGTAAATTCTAATATATCAACTACAGATCCTAGCAAAAATAATTAAGTTAATCATATACTACACTAAATCTAATATATCCAACTTAATTCTTCGCAATGATTCTTCTCCCCCAGTTAGCGATTTGCAAAAAAAAAACAACATACTTTATAAATTCAAGTGCCCTTTGGGAGATTGTGCCTCCCACGAATTAAATAATATTTATGTTGGTCACACCGCAAACTCGCTTTCACGATGCTTGACACTACATTTGAATGATAACTCTAACATTTTTAGGCATTTCAAACAACATGCCTGCCCGCACACACAATTCCGTAAAATCTTTGTTGAAAACACAATTATACTTAAACAGGAAAACAATAAACAAAAACTAAAAATTCTTGAAGCTATATACATAAAACAGTTGAAACCTAACCTAAACAAAATAAACTAGAAAATCTCCAAAAATATCCTTAAATGTCTGTAATTGGTAACAGAAGCCATTGGTTTATACTAACGGCTTCCCATACTCTCGAATTCACTCTCGCGTGGTCATGTGTGACGTCATGATCTGCGGTGCGATTTTCGTTTCCAGCGTCTTATATACACGTATTTATCGTTGCTTGTAAATCATCCATGTAAACAGAAACAGACTATCATCACTGTCTTGTCCGTGTATTGCTTAATATATTGTACAGTAATTGTCATCTTTGATGAAAAGAATTTACATAAAATAAATAGACAACACTTGTCTATATTATTTAATGAATGATATATATATATATATATATATATATATATATATATATATATATATATATATATATATATATATCAATCTAATCATACCTATATATTTCAATCTAATCATACCTATATATTTCAGTCTAAACATCTCTATCTATTTATCTCAGTTTAATCCTATCTATCTATCTATTCTAATCTCTTGATATCTATCTATCTCAGTCTAATCATACCTTCTATTTTTTAATCGTCTTTTTTGCAGTTTAAATTTTGATTTTTTTTTTTTTTGCGAAACCAGCATAAAATAAAACATAAAATAATGTTTCATGTAAATTAACTTCGACTACGCCACGGTCAATGTCTACCGCCAGAAAATTTAAACTATGTAATTAAAAAATATATTTCAAAAATAAATTAGCAGTTGTAAAAATACAAGATTTAATGAAAAAAACGTTAATCTAATAATAATTACTTAATTGGATTTCGAATAAAATAATTACTTATTCTTAAAACGCATTTATTTACAACGAAGATCAGTTACCTGTCAGTTGTGAAAGATCAAGTTGGCTTTGGATCAATTTTCCTTCTTTCGGTGTAATGAAAACCTGCTTAAAAAGAAGTATGGAAGGCCAGAAATGATAAAATCTATCAATGGCAGAATCATATTCTCAACAATAAGGCATAGTCATATGACGGAGAAGACTGTAGTCCAAAATATTATTATTCAGAATTCAAGGAGTGGAATCAAAACTTCAATACTGTGTGGGTTAAATATTTTTTTTATTATTAGTAGTAGTAGTAATTATTGGTAGATTGATGTAATAACACGAACAATATGACCAAAATCCTCTAAAATTAAGAGAGAAAATGTTCCCGAATCCCACAGACCTAATCAAAGAATTTATCTTCTACCATAATTACAACGTTTCTATCAAAATCATTCTGAAATCGCAAAAACTCAATGAATCTGTGGAATCTTCCACGTTTGCCAGTCACCCCCCGCGGGAAAATGCACTCTTCCCCTGTGATGATTATCATCACATACATACAAATCATGCGACAAGCATTCATTGGTTAATCTCCTCAAAACTAGCTCGCTGATTGGTCAATTCCGACCAATCAGATCGCCTGCACCCGATGAATATTTCCCGCGTTTTCGCTCCGGAGATGATCACGTGTGAGACAGCCTTATATAAACAAAACTCGAATAAGCTCCCTCGTGTTCCTCAAGAGCTCCCGTCTTAACCACCTGGTCAGACGTTAAAGAACATTACCAGCGCTCACGCAAGTACGGGCAGTCAGAATTTCATCCTGGAGAAATGCCAAACTAATCTACGCCAGTCAAAATCATAACCAGCTACACTTTTCCCGCGCGAACTTCTCTGACTCAACACACACAGCATTTCGCTCTACCAGGAACAATTTCTTACGATACTAAAAAGTGATAATAACTCACTACTAATAAGTATTCGTAAACATTCAACCAAGCATCAAAACAACTAAAGGTACACAACTCATACCAACTTTGGACAATAATTTAAACAAGCACACGCATACACACTATTAATTGAACTGCCACAAAAGACATTTTTGTACATGAACAAACACTTAGTTTAATTTCACACACAAATCTTAATAACAGTTTCACACACATTGAAACTTGACATAAATACACTACATAATTCAACTCAACCATTCACACTTGTTCAACAACCTTTGATTCAATTGTGTATTTTTATTCTATATAAAACCATGTTATTGTTATATCTTTAACTACGTTGTTTTCGCTCTGATTTATTTTGAATGATTTGTCTTCAATACTCATGTTTCTAAATTTGTTGTGGATGAATGTTTAAGAACACCAACATCACTAACCCTCTCGATAAAATAACCTTCTGATACCTAAGATACATTCGCCAGTCTGCAACAAATTTATTGGCTGCAAAGTGATATTCTTACTGATTGGCTTTATTTAATACTAATCTAAGATGCGTCAAGAATTAGTTTTGTTTTTGTGTGTGTGTGGATGTAAATGTGTGCGTGAATGTAAAAATCCATCTTCAGCAAAACTGATATAGATAGATATGATTAGACTTAGATAGATATAGATAGATAGATAGATAGATAGGAACAGACTGTGATAGATAGATAGATAGATAGATAGATAGATAGATAGGAACAGACTGAGATAGATAGATAGATAGATAGATAGATAGATAGATAGATAATAATGGCCCGTCACCCAGATATTTCATAGAACTTACTAAGTAAAAAATTAGAATTAAATTTTCAGAATTAAATTTTTATCATATAAAAAGTCCATCAACTTGTAAAGATTTACAAGCGATTTTTTTTGCATTAAATTTAAAAAACACATTGTTATCCGGAATTTCATGTTTTCACGTGAAAGCAACAAAATATTACTTAATTAGATAGATAGATAGATAGATAGATAGATAGATATGAACAGACCGACTGAGATGTGATCTGATGTAGATAGATAGATAGATAGATAGATAGATAGATATGAACAGATATGAGATGATCTGATGTAGATAGATAGATAGATAGATAGATGATAGATAGATGTAGATAGATAGATAGATAGATAGATAGATAGATAGATATGAACAGACCGACTGAGATGTGATCTGATGTAGATAGATAGATAGATAGATAGATAGATAGATATGAACAGACCGACTGAGAGGTGATCTGATATAGATAGATAGATATAAACAGACCGACTGCGATAGATAGATAGATAGATAGATAGATAGATAATTCTATAGCAATAACAATATTTGGCAAAAACTAAATTTCTTAAGGTCATTATTAGCCGTCCAGAACCTAAAATTAAATCCATGAGAGCCCCTGATCTGATAACAGGATTTTTCTTTCTCTATAATTATGGCGCCTGTATTGATCTCGTTCCCAAAGATCAATTCCCAATGTTTTCCTAATTAATTTTTTTTTAATGATCACTATACAAAAATAATGCGCCTGCCATAGAGCAATAAAAAGCAAAATTGTCTGGCAGCCAATTGGTCGTTTATTGCAAATGATACTCATTACAGACCTCATTATGACGAACTAGTGCCAGCTTAATTTCATCATCATCAGCAGCAGCAGAAGCAGCAGCAGCCACATGATTGGGTGTGGTCGTAACGTAACTGACCAACTCCCTCCACGTGTCTCGGCCGGCATTCAATCAGACAATGCGTTTCTTGGGCTAGTAGACCTGGCGAATCCCATCCTTCACCCGGTCAGACCATAACCGATGTCCTCCGACTTGAAGTCTCACCTTGTTCACGGACTGTTGGTTCCATCGGGGTTAGTCCCCCGGCCTGGCCGTCTAAGCTGAACTTCTTAAATATCAATCTGAGCACCTGCAAGAAAGTGAAAGTATTTATTTGCTCCCACCCATAACTTTCAGGCTTTCGGATGTTCGGTGGTACAATGGATGGAACCTTGGAATAAGAAATGGGAGAGCAGTGTTCGAATTCCAGCCGAGTTCGTTATAGTCTCTTACAGGAAAAATCAATTGGGAAAGGAATGAATCTCTTTTCCAAGCAGCTATTGGAAAATAGCAGGGCAAACTAGACCCTATAGCCTTGTTTGGCAACCAGTCTAAAAGAAGAAAAACTCTGAATTCAAAACCAGCCTGGGGATGGTTTGGCAAATAGTTAACACCCAAACTCAGGTCAAAACATTATGAAAGTGTAAAAATAGATTTTAATACCAGAAATACTTTTTTTTTTAAATTATTGCTAGCAATTCATTTTTGAAGAAAAAAAATATTACCAAAAATAGATTTATGAAGGAAAAAATATTACCAGTAAAAAAAATTGTCGGCATTAAATAACCCATTGAGGTTGATATGCCGTAAAACAAAACAAACCAAACCAAACTATCGCTATGAATCTATTTAAAAATTTTGTTGGCATTAAATGACCCACTGAGGTTTTGATATGCCATAAAACAAAACAACCAACCGTTTCTTCTGTGTTCAGTCTATTCTATTTTTTTCCGTCTTTCTCTAGAACTAGATGCCGGAAGTGTCATATTCTTCTGTGAAGGGATGATACAACATTCACAGCCATATAAGAAGATTGATATCACATGGCGGTTCAGAACTCTTTTCTTTATTTCTAACAAAATTTTCCTCTTTCTTAATACTTTGTTTAGCTTTTGGAAAGCAACTTTTACGGTTCTAAGACATCTTCGGATTTCGCTGTCACGTTTTCAACTGACTGTTATAAAACTAACCTGACAGTTAACTTTCTGAATTTACTTGATTCTGAGTTTTCCAATTCACGCTTCGGATCTTGGGCTCCATACATTTTGTCTTCTTACAAATGATTTATATTTCTTTCTTCTAACCTTCCTTTACTGCCATGTCCATAAATTCCCGCTGTTTACTTCCCGTGCCTGCCATTAAGACGGTCTCATCTTCGTATCTGATGTTGTTAATATTGTTTCCACGTATTAATACGCAAAACCATTTGATAAAATCATCATCATATATCATCATTTAGCGCATTTTGCACCGCAGTGGTCACAACTCCCCTCCATTTCACGATTATGTTTCATGGTAACATTCAAGGTAGAATAGTGCAATAGCTTTCCGGTTCTTTTTGCACTAATGCGATGTTGAGGTTACCTCGTCCCTCCTCTCAGAAGTTACAGAGGCAAGACCTACAAAGCAGCAGGCGGTTTGAATTCCGAGTTTTCCTTGTACTAGACTGGTTGTTAGTCAAGGCAATAGATTCAATATATTCAATAGTAGAATCTTCTCACTTACCTTATTATTTAAGAATATCACATTATAAACTATTCGGCTTGAGGAAGTATGAAAAGCATATCGGCTAGTCAGACAATATATTAGGTTGAGTCATAAATAAATTCCATTTATGTCAGAGTTTCCTTCTCCTATACTGGTTGCCATCCAAGGCTACAGAGCCTGCTATTTACTCATAACTAGGAGGTGCCTGGTTTTGAATTCAAAGTTTTTTCGTCTCCTAGTCACCCAAGGCTATAGACCCCAGTCTGGCCTGCTATTTACTCATAGCTAGGTGGAGGTTGCTTTTGAATTCAAATTTTTTCATCTCTTGGACCGATTTCCACCCAAGGCTATAGAACCCACTCTGTCCTGCTATTTACTTATAGCTGCTGGGGAGGCTGGTTTCTAATACAAAGTTTTTCCTTCTCTTAAACTGGTTGCCAACCAGAAAGGCTATAATGTGTCCTGCTTTTTACTCATAGCTGCTGGGGAGGCTGGTTTTGAATTCAGAATTTTTCCTTCTCCGAGACTGGTTGTCACCCAAGATTATAGAACCCAGTCTGCCCTGCTATTTACCCATAGCTTGGGAGAGAAGTGATGGATTCATATTTTTCCCAGCGGTATTGGCGAGTAAGGGAAGTTAATAAACTAGACTGGAATTCGAACTCGCCTCTCCGATTCTGCAATCCTAGCCGTTATCCATTACTCCACGGTGCCTTCGATAAATGAAAAAAATTAAAAAAAAAAAAAAAAAAAACTTGATAAAATATGACACAAATATCTGTTTGAACTGTAAGGAAAACTTGATTTCATAAGAGAAAGATATACACCAGAACATTTACTAGGAATAAAAACTGCCTGGATATGATTAAAAACGGAATAACAAATTAATCTAACTATAAAAATGTCGACATTTTTGCATACGATTTTTTTTTCTTTTTTTTAGTCTTCCATTTATGATGAACTATAATTTTTGAACTTCCTGTCTACAAGGCAGCCATGAAAGAGTTATGCATATTATTTCTATCATTTCAGATTCTTTCATTTTTTTTTTCTACTGCATTTTATTTTCAAGTCTATTACAATGTTTAACGGATACATCTTTTGGTTGTTGTTGTTGTTGTTTTTGTTGAGGATGTGCGAAGAACCAGATACGCTAGATCCGTGTTTATTATTCTCGATAGAGACGCGAAGTCTGCTAAAAGTCTCTTTTCTGCCAGACTGGTTCGATCAAAATATTTCAGAAGAGTCTCTCTGTACTCGTCCGGAATTAAAGCCTAAAAACAAGATGGCACTTAGAAAACTCCACCAAACGTAAGAACATGTCTTTTCAAAATAAACTTCGCTTGCAGTTGTCGCCATATTATCAATGGCGTTAAATGCCTTCCGGTTAACAAGTTTTAGCAAGTAAACAAGCTGCTCATGCGTAAAAGGTGTAATGAAATTTTTGAATCGGCCAATCAATTCAATTCGATTTCAGTTCAAGTGGAGAAGAGGTTTGAGACTGGTGGTCTTATATCATTTATTTTAATCTAATCAGCGATGCAATGTGAGGCGAATTTGATTGTTTACGTGTGCAAATCCAGATTTGATCCACAGTTAAGATTAGACGGGAGGCGCGTACGCTATTTGAGATGGACTCTAATGTCATCGTGATTATAGATAAGCTGATGGATCAGGGGATATGAAGGAATGTAACAAGTCGTTCTCCGGACACTGGGAAGGGTGGTAATGAACCTGTGATAGAAGGCATGAATGAAAAATAGTTAGCAGCATTTCTTACTGGAAATACATAAAAAAAATTCCAATCAAGACCGATCTATTCGATTTAAGTATAAAAATACTGGTTCCATCTTGAAAACAATCTATATATTCAATAGCAGAATCTTCTCACTTACCTTCTTAATTGAAAGTATCACATTACGAACTAATCGGCTTGAGGAATTATGGAAAGCATATCTGCTAGTCAGACAATGATTTTGTTAAAAGGAACAATATAGATAATTTCCATTTTTGTCAGAGTTTCCTTCTCTTAGACTGGTTGCCACCCAAGGCTAGAGAACCCAGTCTGGCCTACGATTTACCCATAACTGGAAGGAGGCTGCTTTTCATCTCCTGGACGGGTTTCCACCCACGGCTATAGAACCCAGTCTGGCCTGCTACTTACCCATGACTGCTGGGGAGGATTTTTTTGAATTCAGAGTTTTTCCTTCTCCTAGGCTGGCTGTCATCCAAGGCTATAGACCCCAGTTGTCACCCAAGACAATAGACCCAAGGCTATTTACCCATACCTGGGTGGTGGCTGGTTTTGAACACAAATTATTTATCTCCTGGACCGGTATCCACCCATGGCTATAGAACCTAGTCTGTCCTGCTATTTACCCATAGCTAATGAGTAGGCTGGTTTCGAATACAAAGTTTTTCCTTCTCATATAGTGGTTTCCAACCAAGGCTATAGAACACAGTTTCTCCTGCTATTTACCCATAGCTGGTGGGGTTGGTTTTGAATTCATAGTTTCTCCTTCTCCTAGACTGGTTTCCACCCAAGGCTATAGAACACAGTTTGTCCTGCTATTTACCCATAGCTGGGGGTAGGTTTTGAATTCAAAGTTTCTCCTTCTCCTAGACTGATTGCCACCCAAGGCTACAGAACACCGTCTGTCCGCCAATTTGCCAAAAGCTAGAAAGAGAAAAACTGGATTCATACATTTCTCAATGATATTAGCACGCAAGTGAATGTAACGATCTCGACTGAAATTCGAACTCGGCTCTCCGGTTCTGCAGTCTTAGCCGTAATGCATGCCTCTAATAAATAAATAGAAACTGAAAAACTTTGACAAAATACGACAGAAATATCTGTTTGAATTCTTAGGAAAACTTCATTTCATTGAGAAGAATATACACCAGATATTTACTAGGAATAAACCGCCTGGATACGATTGAAAAAAGGAATAGCAAGTTAATCAAACTATAAAAATCAACTTTATTCTTCAATAAATAAGGTACACTTATATTTTATCCAATTAGAAGTCGACCTTTGGGCAGTCTTTAGCCTAGCTCTTGTAGAGGGATTTGGGGCCTCCAGACTTTTACTTTCAGCCTCCTATCTACGTAAAAGTTATAAGAATTTAGAAATAATTAAATTATTTCCGACATATTAAATCGGCAAAATCTTTCTTCGTATACGCAACCGATTTCCGTAGTTTGTTTATATTTATTTCGCGCGCAATTTTGAGGTTCTTTTAAAATCACCATTCTTGATGATCCCTTCACATAAAGTCATTCTTCTTAAAAGACATTAGGGAACCTTAACTATGTAATACTTCAAATCCGTCACAATACGCGTGATAGAAAAAGAAGAAAAAAGCATATGGCCAACGTACTATATCCCACTTAAATTTTAATTACGGTTTAATTAAAATTGTGGTGAAAAGCAAAATTAAAGTACACTGTGCTTTATTTATATAGATTATTGTTGACAAATCCCGGTCAGCACTTCGGCCATTTTTTAGTGAAATTTTGTGGGTTTTGATGTGAAAAAGTGTTCAACGAACACTTTAATTTGGTTTTCATTTGAGAAGGATTCCACCATCAAAGCGTTTTGTATCGATTGTGAATGGCAATCATCCGATGGTGCAAGGCCAGGTAAGTATGGTGGGAGGTGGGTAGAACGGAGCAACTGATTTTTTCCTGTTTGATTGTTCTGTATACTGCCTTTCCAATATAAAGTCCTTGGGTATAACGTATTCTCCGTATTTTCTTACAATACGCTGCGGCTTGGAAGACGCACCCTAATATTGGAAAGAAATTTCTAAAAAAGTCATTCTCATACAACAACACCTTCACCATGCGTCCCTTAAATACTGGCGCTACATATTGTTTACATTAATCACTTGTCTGATTTTGTTTGTATGGCAATGACATACTAGTCAAGACAGAAAAGCTCCCGCCGCTGTTAGTAACTAGAGCATGTTTAAACTTGTGGCTCGGCTCCAGGAAAGTGTATAGTCTTGAAAATACTTGTAACAGCTCAGCGCTGAGGTTACATCAAGGCTGAATTAGATATGTAACATTCTAGTGTAATTACACATAGGTAACATTCTAGTGTAATGACACAACATACAAATGCACGTCCCTGTCAGTCAAGCTAATTAGGTGACCGTCCAAGCTTACTTGAGACTGGGTGTTGCCTTACATTCGTCTTGGAAGACGCACACGTATTTTACAAGGTTTTTTGGGGGAAAAAATGCGTCTTGCAAGCTGCAAAATACAGTAATCGCTTTACATTCTTTGAATCAAACATTTACGATAAAAACTTGAGTTTGTCAATGATAGAAGTTAATATAGGTGATGTTAGCGATGAGCAAGGTGAAAGATTCCACCCGGACATTAAAGTTATAGAAGAATGGTATGACTATTGCTGGAACTTAAAACGGGACAAATCTAGTTATAATTCACGAAAAACAACCGAAAATTCTTGACATGACTGCCAAATACTTTCAATATTTGAATCTTAATCACTCATTGTTTTATATCTATTTCGTCTTTCAGAAGTTGTGTTTTATTTCATACATTTTCTTTTATATAGTGTGGCCCTTCATGACGTTGGCGATCATGGCTCTCCACAGTTTCCTGTAATTTTGTAGCTCTCCTCCTAAACTTTGTTCCGCTATCCATTTACTCAAACTCTTTAAGTAGATTATGCATTGTTTTTCTCCATCTCTCTTGCCTTCAATCTGACCAGTGAGTATCAAATTTTTCAAGCCGTCTTTCCTCATTAAGTGTGCTAGACATTTAATCTCTTTCTTCCTGATGTTAAGTATAAATGTCCTTTTTTTATTACATGTTCTCTAAAACTTGGTATTCTCAGCATCCTGCACCTGTGAAGACATTATCCAGCATTCACTGCCATACAGGAGGAATGATTTTGCGTGAGATTTCACTGCACTTTTCTTTTCTAACGAAATGTTCCTGTTTCTTAATACTTTGCCTACTATTCTTCCATTGTTTGTGGTTGAAACGAAATATTTGAATAAATCCCAAGAAAATCAATGTCACTTCATATAACTACCGTTATTCAGACGAAGGGAGAAGATACATATTATCAAGTTACTGTTTCTAATTTTGGGGACATTTCAATAGGCAAGAAGATCCGGCCTTGTCAGCTAGCAAAATAACGTTTCTACGTTTCCACAACGTTAATTATAAGTTACAAAATCGTTTTTTAGTAGAACCCCCACAACATACTCATGTATAAGTCTACTTCATGTATACTGCGACCTCTGATTTTGTGTGTGTGTGTGTGTGTGTATGTGTGTGTGAAAGACCTGATTTTTTTCGTAATGCCACCCCAGCTTCTGAGCAAATCTAGTCGCCCTAACGTAGTCAAAAATGGCTGCACTGGACATCATCCTGGAGATATTATAAAGCAAATAAATGGTCTTCATTCTTTTTCGTACAAAAAACTTTTTTTTTCTTCCCACCCTAACCCACATGTTGTTCGAGGAACGGCCCGTATGTGGATGCGGATATGAAGAGAAGAAATATTCAAGAAAAACGTATAAGTGAAAATTCTTGCCATGACTACAAGTTTCTCTCAATATTTGAATCTTAATCACTTATTGTATTATATTTCTTTCGTGTTTCAGAAGTGTTTCCTTTCACACATCTTCTTTTATATGGCGTTGGCCCTTCATTACGTTGGTGATTATGGCTCTCCACAATTTCCTGTGATTTTATAGCTCTCCTAATTACAATACAATATATTAAGCAATATACAGACAAGAAAGTGATGATAGTCCATTTCTCTTTACATGGATGACCTCCAAACAACGATAAACACGTGCATATAAGACGCTGGAAGCGAAAACCGCACCGCAGCCGACGACGCCACACATGACCATGCGAGAGTGAATTCGAGAAGTATTAAGTATGGGAAGCCGTTGGTATAAACCAATGGCTTCTGTTACCAATTATAGACATTTAAGAATATTTGTGGATATTTCATAGTCTATTTTGTTCAGGTTAGGTTTCAACTGTTTTATGTATATAGCTTCAAGAATTTTTAGTTTTTGTTTATTGTTTTCATGTTTAAATATAATTGTATTGTACTTTAATTGTCATCTTCGATAATGGCTTATGTAAGCCGAAAGCTTAGATTGGATTAAAAAATATGTATCAATGCTGTGATTTTCTTTCTTCTTTTAATGATGTTATAAAGCTTATGAGACGTTATGAAAAGAATTTACATAAAATAAATAGACAACACTTGTCTATATTATTTAATGAAACGTGTATGAATGAAAAAATGATGCCTAAATATAGACAATATATATATAGAGTGGGGGGAAATAAATATTCGAACACTTGAAAAATTATATTTTTATAAGTGTAAAAGCCTTAAATAAAACAAATCTCGGCACATTTTATGTATAAAGACACATACTATTAAAAAATAATAATAAACTTAATTAATTCTTATTCTAACAGAAATTAATGCATTTTTAAAATTCTAACTGGTGAAAAAAAGTATTCGTACAAATCAATTATTAGAATAAAATAATCAATTAATTATGAAAAACGTATATTCTAGAATATTCCAGTAATGTTATTAGTAATTATATTTAACGCTATTAGCCATTATCAGAGCATTCTGCAATTTCTAGTCTTACGAGAAGGTTCTAATAATGCCTAAATGTAAAGAATTGACTATTTCACAAAAACAACACATTTTGTCTCTTTGGAAAGATTGGA